AATGGCCTAATGAGAGGGCTCCTTCAAATTTTAATTTTTTTCTCAATTTTTTATACCACTGTATTGATTTTTCGGATGAAAATCTTTTGTAAAATTGCTGATGATCATAGATCAGAATCCTCTGAGGGTGCCATCCTTGCTGATCACTACGCAAGGGCTATCTTTTGTCTATCATATCTGTTGGGTTCACCTGAAGGTGTTCAGCAGCATCCCTTTTTCTGTAACGGGGATATTCTTTGTGGTAAATCATTTGTAAAACAGAGAAGTCATGAAGATTTTTAAGGTTGTGGACCGTTTTCGTCTATAACCGCCATTAAAATTACCTGAAGATCGCATTATAGGCCTCTTTGCGTAGGCCTTTATCGATTTACTCTTAGGCATACAGTCGAATTCAAGGACTTCAGTACTCAGTTTGGACTGGTTTGAGTTCGAAAGTTCAAGAGGGAAATCGAAGATGGCATACATCGGGACATGTGTCATGAGGTTCCGCTAATTTCAGATTTGTAGCAGATGGCTGTAGCCAAAACAGTGGCTATATATGAACCTTGAAAGTTTTTTACTATTTTTTCTAGAGGGAACGTATTGATGATACTTATTTTTGTTTACTACTTATATGTTATTTACTGATTAATATTTCTGTGTGTTATAATATTACCAAGTTATTTACTGATTAATATTTCTGTGTGTTATAATATTACCAAGTTACTGTCACATTATTAATAATAATGATTATGTTATGATAATACTTTTACTACATAACTAAGGGCGAGTAAGTGAACATGAAAATAGAGGATGAGAAAAATTTTTTTAATTCATGGAAAAGGACGGTAAAGGGAACTACAGAGTTATACAATCCATTGGCTTTTGAAACAGTAAATGTGATAATGGGCGGATCTGGTTTTGGTAGTTAGTTGTAATTGTAGGCAAATTAATCACCTTACTCGTATCAAAATGGCCCTGAGTTTTTCTTCAGTTCATATGCCTCATTCCGTTCCCCTTTCATTTACCCTAAAATTCCATAGATAAGAGCGGTTGAAACTACCGGTGAAAAATGAATTGGAATGAATCTGAAATCGAATGCAGTCACCCTCTAACTTGATGGATGGATAAATTAAACTTCGAAGAAGAAGTTAAGAAGAAGCTCCGCCCCTTAACTTCAAACCCCGCCCACTTAATGAACAATTCACATAGAAAAATAGCGATTTTAATGGATCGCTATTTTTCTATATGAATTGTTTATTAAGTGGGCGGGGTTTAGAATTGAGGGGCGGAGCTTCTTCTTAACTTCTTCGAAGTTTAATTTATCCATCCATCAAGTTAGAGGGTGACTGCATTCGATTTCAGATTCATTCCAATTCATTTTTCACCGGTAGTTTCAACCGCTCTTATCTATGGAATTTTAGGGTTTTTCAACTCCTCCCATTTCATTCACTTTGTCTATCCATTTCGTTACTTCAACCTACTTTAACCCCTTTCATTTCATTTACGTCACTATTTTTTTTTGAAGTATTGATTCGAGCTAAATATTGCAAAATAATATAATAATAATAAAGTAGTAAAAATAATAAATAAAAATAAATAATAGTAAAAAAAGTAATAAAAACATGACTAGAAATTCAGTAAAGTCGTGAACAAAGTGGTTACTAAGTAAGTCCACGGTTGACAGAGAATAGTCCAGCTATGTACGCTTTCTGGGCCTTAATGCAAGGTGCAGAAAAAGCTTTACAGAACTAATGCTTCGACATTTCCGTCGTGTAATATTTTTTCTCAAAGAGAGTAAAAGGATGGTTTGAGAATACGCATTTGACTTTTGTAGTAATTTCCGGTATTAATTGATTTTCAAGTCAGGTCTGACCCGGGCAGTTTGAAGGTCATGGCATGGAATACGATTCTGCGACTGCGAGTGGGGTACAATAAAAACAGAAATTCTAGATTTTACGGGTGATGTAGCGATCGAGTTATAGATTTTGCCTCACAGTGATACCAATCACTACAAGGGCCATTAACTAGGGTACTTGGTTGATTATGTGTTGATTAGTTAGGAAAGTAAGTCAGAACTTTGTTTTAAATGAAGTGAAGCACAATTGGGTAAGTAAAACGATTACGGTAATAACCTCGATGAGCATCAGAATTCGATGGTCAATGGAAAAAAAGTTGGAATGAGTCTGGGTCTGCAGGGAATGAAGTGGGCTGGGTTCAAAAGGGGAACAGGCACATTTGCAAAGCGTTGGGGTGCCGAGAAGTCTTGTTCAAAGAGAAAAAAAAAACAAAATGACAACCGATCGGAGGATAGAGGAAGGAAAGAGGGAAAGAAAAGAGAGTTTCAATCGAATTCATTCCAATAAAATGGGTGCAATTTCGTCTCCTTTCGGTTTGCTCCGACTGCGCTTAGACGCTTAGAAAAGCTTTCCTGCTCTTGAATGGCTTAGGCAAAATCTTTTTTGGAATGTTGGATTTCCATTATTGTGATTGCTCACATCACATTATATGGTCCATTACTAGAAGAATGATTTATAGATGGGCAGTTCCCAGAAAAATTCGGATTGGAACAGATCTGATGAACTCGACAGTGATTTTGATAAGTGTCACAGATAGTGGCATGGATAGAGACCCAGGAAAAAAGCGTATTGTATTATGAACCCAGATCTCTGCAATTGGAATTATTGGTCCTACTTATCTGGGTAAGGTGAAGCGCAGAATTGTACTGATTGAAGAGTGAACGCATCGAACAATGGCCTTAAAATGCCGATTAAGTTGTCTCATAAACCTGGTTGAGTTTTTCTTCGCACTTTGAACCAATCCAGGGTTTCACTCAGGGGCCCAAGTCCATGTTCCTTTGGCTGGAAACAACGGGACATTGCAAAGTTTTCACTTTCACCGTCTTATTCACTATACTACTCTTGATTCTTACTCTTTCTTTCTTCTTCCACTTTCTTTCTTGATCTGAACTATCAAAATAATGAGCGGATCAATAAGGTAAAAGCGAAAACCAACAATGTGGGAGAGAGTCCAGGAGGATCGTAAAAGTATCTTCACTTACTTCACATCCGTCTTTCAATCCACTCCCTTAATTGACTATTTTACTTTCATCCCGTGAATCCTCCTGAGCCGTAGCGCGTTCCTGAAAGTGTAACGGCAGTGAAATTCAAGAAGTTCATTTTCATTTTGTCTGCATCTGATTTTCAACAGCTTTTCTTTTTTACAGCTCTTATTAATTCAAAATCATTCACTGGTGTTTACCTGAAGAAAGTGTTCTTTGCTGCAGCTATATAGGTACCGAGGCTGGAAAAGTCGTTTTCCTTTCGGTTGAGCTGTGTTGTACCTTGTAACTATTGCCCGTCAGGCCTTTTTTCAAGCTGAAAATGGGGTTAGACAAAACTCTTGCAGTTGTTCTTGTTTGGGCGGTACAGTCCTTGGCGTGTTCGATTGTTTCCATTTCTTGTTAAAAGATTTGGGCGTGTTGGACCGCAAGAGGTGGCCACCGGAGTGCGCCATGCCTCAGACTGCTTTAAGGTCTTCGGCTTACTGAAGGACCTGAAGCTGAGTAGTGGGGGTGTCTTAGGTTCAGGCTGTGGGTGGTCACAGCTCGTAAACTGCGGGTAGATTTTTTACAATTTGGATTTTGAGGTCTCTGAAACACGAACGTATGTTCGCTAAATGACACTGATCAAAGCTTCGCTTCGTCTGCGATCTGGGTCCTCATAATGGCGTGTGAAGACGAAAAAAATCTGATATTGACATTGGTCAGGGTAAATATTTGTCAATTTAATATGCAGTAGTGTTTGATGGCAAATTGACAATTGAGAATTGATGTGGCGCAATTCCATGAATAGGATGTGTTACGCATCATTCGTTTGGACAAAGCGGTCGAGATACCGGCTGGTACCTGCCTGGGCGGTATACGCAGTGATTTTTCCAGTTTATTGTTATTTTATGCTAAATTTATTGGCTATTCATCACGTGTAATAGAGCAGTGGGACCAGGCAGGCAATTTCATCAACTACATGGTGCATGGTTCAGGTTCCACTGAGGCGACATTATACCCTCTGTGGCCGTGAACTGGGTTCTTGACTCTCTTGAGTGCTTGCTAGGGTGATGAGCCTCTCTATATCTAAATGACATGGTGAGATGCGATAGTGACTGATAATCAAGTGCACTGCGATTTCTATAAACTTCAGAGTGGATCATTTGTTCTTTTTTATCTTCTTTTTTTATAAGAAGCTCTTTTTTATAAGAAGCTCATCCTCTTAAAATAGTAAAGGTCAAGGTGTATTGTGACATTCCGGGGATCAAACTTCAGTGGAGCCCTCCAAACCCTCCGGGCTGATCTTTATTTATGGGAGGAATACTCATTCAAATAGCTTAGAATTCTGGCTGGAAGTGAAATGCATGTCGTATTCCAGAGAGACCTGACCAACGATATTTAGCTTCTAAATTTTGATAGGAATTTGAATTTCTTTTACGTAACACCTTTTTGGTGTTATTTTGGGCCAATGAGCTGACCGTCAAGGGAAAACCTACCGTTGCTTCTCTAGACACCATCAAAGAGAGCCTAATTCTCATTCAGTCCCATACCTCGCCCTCGTTTTATGGTGGGAAAAGGAGGGAAACGCTCTAGATCGGTAGTGAGTGAATGACTAATTTGGAAGGATTCCCTGACCCTGTCCATTCCTGGTAGGAAAGGGCTACCATGTTGGCCCAATCGTATCCCTAGTTGTTTTGGCCTGGCCATGTTCGATTTATGTACACCCCAGTCTTAGCAACTGCCGGCCGGTCATTGTTCTCTGTAGTGGTTACACTAGCGATCGGATGAAAATAAAGGACTCTTACGGGAAAACAGGGAACATCCGTTCAATCATCGTTCTTCGCTTGTGTGCCTTTTGATGTGTGCGTTTTTTTTCCAGCTGAAAGGCGGTCTTCTCTGTGGGTTAGTTGAAAAAAAAATGATTTGTCACAGAGTTGTGCGGACATTTTCAAGTTTTCAGTCAGATCGTTTATGAATGTTTGTCACGGAACAATGTCAGTGTTTCCATAGTAGAACAATGATTGCCCCCAGACAATGTCAGTGCTTACCCCATGTGACAGTGTTGCCACATTGTCCTGAGGCCACCGCGTTTAAGAATTTTTTCTATCGTGGTTTCACGGTCAAACTCGTTCACTGAGGGCGCTTGAGCGACAGGAATTCGGAAAGAAATGCTTGATAATGTTGTGATGTTTGAGGCGAAGTTCACTAACCTGGATTCCATAGCGGAACGGCTGAAAAAGAATTTTGTTGTCGTTGTAAGCCTTGAATCTTGAGGTCAACTTTTGTCCTGTGAGGTGCTCATCGTAAAGGACACTATGAGGCCATTTATGGTGTCCATCTGATACAAGGAGAATGTGTTCCAGTAGTGAAAGAGATGGACAGAGGGCTGGACCTTGATTAGCCCCTTTGGATGCGCCATGCATCCTATTTTCACCCGTTTGTAGAGATAAGTGAATTGATTGTTTGAGTTGGACAGTCTTTTGCAGAAATTAGACCAAAGTCGAGTTGATTCAATAGTATTCAAATTTAAGAATGATTAGTTTAGTTTCCAACTCAGAAATGGACTAGGTATACCGATTATCACACAGTAACTTTCCCGGAATGTTGCAACTCGGACTGCTATTATGTGTTTTTATTCCTTTATTTTTTGTCGGTTTAGCGGCTCATTTTTTTTGTCACTGAAAAAATTTGCTCAAAAAATCTGTAATGAATCCTATACAATTCTCGTTCTATTCTATGATAATTCATTTTATTGTATGATAAGTCATGATACTGGGATCAATTTGGGATCGCAGTACCATGGCTTTTGCCAGGATTCGAGTAGGGTGCGCAAGGCTGCTATTTCGGTCAAAGCACCACCTTGACTTTACCCATTTGTCTAGCGGTAAAGTTGGAAGGGTTCATTTGAGAGTGAGGTTGATGGAAGAGTCTTAAAGGCAAGGAGAGAGAACTTTTCGAAATAATTAAATGAATTTGATGACCGACTGATTATATGGGTTGCAAAATTAAAAACTGGAAAAGAAACAAGTTCGGAGAGGCCGGTCTTCTAGTGTTTATGAACTTTATAGAGGCCTTCCTCGAAATTTCATAATCTTGACTGTTCACCTATTCATTCCTATAATTGGTAGATACTGGGTTTTTCAGGTACGATCGGTGTAATGGCAGCCTTTGGCGGTACTCCATTACTGTATATATTCGATGTTTTAAATGTGGAAAAATTACATCCATTACCTACTTCGGAAGAAGTAGGAATGGTGGTGATTTCGGCTGTTTTTGGTGAGTTTTCAAGAAAACTACTTTACTGATTTATTAGTGTAACTGTCATTTTGGTGCAGTAGGTTTAGGTTAAGTACATCATGGAATTCGGTAATTTGATTGTTTCGTATGTCTACTTAGAAATCCTGTTTCCTTATGTAAAATGTAAAACGACGTAATGGGTTAATAGAGGTCTCCGCCCACCGCCGGGAATTTTTGCGTACTTTCATAAAAGTAAAAGTAAAAGGGAAAAGAATTGGCCGCAATAAATCAATCTCTTCGATATTCATCACGTTTTCCATCAAGGCCTTCAGAATTCTGGGAGTTTTTGATTCATGAAGCAGCTAAAGAAGAACGGGTGGAGGTGGAATTCGTGTTAGAGTCTTCCTAGGCAAGCCTTTCACTAATTAACTGGTTTGGGAGGAATACAGTGTTGTTTGAATCGAAGGGAACGATCTATTGAGGGATAACCGGGCCCCCGACCCTCTAAGCCACTAGCATTCATAAGTTTGGGGCTCTTTGTTCCTTTTGCTTTGACCGGGTTGTCTGCGAGTTTACTGAGTACTTTCGTTTTTCAGGCACTCTACTTGGTGACTACCTGTGGCTGACAGCTGCTGGACTGACGGATTCCCTTTTAGCGTCACTCTCATTGACNCTTGCGATACCCTTGTCGTTCCTTGCAGATGCTATAATCCGGGGTAATCCACCGACAGCCATACAACTCCTAGCTGCCATCCCGATCACCGTGTCGTTCGTCGGTGCCGCTTTAGTGGGGCACAAAAGAACGTCACCACAAGCTCCTGAAACCCGACACTCATCAGATGAGGACGATTCGGCGGCGTTACTCGACAACGATGAGTCCTAAGGTGTTCCTTAACCCTTTCCACTAACCTATCACTCTTAAGAGGCTTTACCACCTTTATTTATTGACATGTCTCTGAGTTATTGTAATTATCGCTTGCAATTTTACTTATTGTCCACTTTAGATACTCTGAGCTTCTGTGATGATATCGGACTTTGATTCGTGCATTATTTTCATACTTACCTTTCTTTCTTCATAGTTATTCTCTATCTAGGTAACTTTATTCCAGAATTACTTAAGGTTGTCAATGCTACCCATAACGACAGCCACCACCGTAATCCTCCTTGACACCTTGGTGATGATGGGCCATGCCCGTGGTGGTGTGTTGGTGGTGGTGGTGGTGGGCGTGTTAGCGTAGCATGATGACCTTGTGGCGCACGATCGTCGGCTCGCACAGTTTGGCAGCAGGCAGTCGTGCGCCGGTGACCCATTGCCTGTGATTCACTGATTTTCGCCTTTGCCCACTTTCACCTAATCTCTTCGGCCCTCCCGTCTAACCCTCCGGCCAAATCGTTTGTTGCTGCCGCTGCTTCCACTAATCCAGATCATGATGGTCTCAAGACCTGTTGCCCAAATACCCGTTGGTCAGCTATCAGCCGTCTCCCAACTCACACCTCCAGTACCAGCACCGTCGTCATCCTCGTCAACGTCTTCTTCGTCGTCATCGTCGTCATCGTCGATGAATCCGTTGTCGACTTCGCTTCTGATCTCCACTGCGTCTCCACAACTCACCATCAAACAACAGCTTGCCAGTCCTATCCAGGTGGCGACTAATTCCGCATTTCGACCCATTGTTCCACATGCGACGATGTCGCCAAACGGTGCCACCAATACCGCCGCCATCAGTGGTGACTCGTTTTTCCTCTCCGCCATCCATTCGCTCGTGCTGTCTTCTCCAAGCGACGATTCAGCCAGTGACTCCAATCACTCGTCTTCTGACAGAGGTGAGCTTGTTGATCTTTGAACTGAAGCTTTTTGTTTTTATTTTCATTTCGGAATTCTGGTGAAACAATGGCTTGGTGGGACACGAAGTAACAGTTTGATTAGTTTTTGCTAGGCTATAAATTCAAACTGGTCTCACTTCCCGCCGTCAAAAAGATTGCGTACTCGCTTTCCCGCGGGTGAAAAGATCAAAGTTTGAGAAGAGCTTTTTTGGATGTCATTGTGAACCCTTCATTTGAAAGCCAGGGAATTGGCTGGAGGCCAATTTGAGCTCGATATATGGTTAAACTCCTTTTCCCTTATCATACCCATATTTATTTGATCGTTTTTGAACTCTCGAAGTGGCCCGAAGAATCAGTTGAACTGCCTCTGAACGAAAATGCTAGGGAGCTTTTTTAAAGAATTTTAGAACAGTTACAAGTAATGACCTTCGGCCGATGATGAGTCATTGGTAGCGCAATGGCTAGCGTTAGCCTATTTTCCTTTTTCGGGTATATTAGTTCGCTACGTGAGCGCCGCGTGATGTGCGATATTCGTTGGAAAGATGCGGCGGTTGTTTACGTCCCAGTTAACCAAACTGCACTTGTGTTGTTTTTTCAGGTCACGGTTGAATAGGTGATTCTCGGACTGAGCTGACTAACCTATCATGAGATTAGGGCTATCGAACCCGTGCTCTGAAGCCCTGCTCCATCTGGTATACAACCAGCGCATTGCCTTCGTCTGATCACGACACTTGTCAACAAGCCAATTATAGCAGCTGCAATTGTCCACGTGATGAATCAACGGCCAGCAGGTTATGGTATTCTTCGCGATCAGAGATTAGGGACCCTAAACAGGGTTTACCAAATGCTCCACCCTCGAGCTGATTTGAAGGTCCCGAGCTTGGGGCGAGCATTAGAGGTTTTGAGAACATGAATGCTGGGTTAATGGAAACGTCCTTGAGAGGTCTGCGAGCGAAGGTCGTCATCATCGACATCGTCGTCGCTGATGTCCTCCTCCTCCCTGTCGTGCTGATAGTTCTCTGGCCTGGGTTTCTCATTTGCCATCATCCACATCGTCATCATCCTCGAAGCGTTGTTGGTCGTCGTTTCGTCCTACGTTTTTCGTTTGTCATTTTCTTTTTTTCAGCAGTCTGTCGCGCCGAACTTGAACTTGACCGACTTTCGCACGTGATCCTCCATGGCGGCGATGTGAGCGAGCGCTAAGCAGGCCCTGTCGCCTGCCACATCGAAAACTCTCATTCATTTCCCATCGGCGTCATGCCATCGTGATCCAGTCCTCACTTTTCCGAATCTCGCAGTCCACGATGTCCAAGTTTGTTGGAGCCTGGACAGAACAGCCCTTCAGCGAGTTTGAACGACGAGAAGTGAAAGGAGTTCGCGGAAAATGACGATTCGAGGGATGTCAGTCTTGGTATTGAGCAGTCTTTGGCAAATTGCAAAAAAGGGCTGCGTCTGTGGTGATTCCATAGTTATTTAGGGCAATTTTTGGAACCTGTCTTATGAAGAACAATAGTACTTGTTCGGAACAGATGAACGGTAATGAGGTCGGCTTAGTACGGACTTCTTCGGGCATAGTTTTTGATGGATTAGAAAGCTGAAGTTAAAAAATTTAGCAGAAATAGTAACGGAACTGAATGAACGATTACTGTTCCCCCTTAGACAGAAACTTTTGGATTGAATAGATTCAGGTAGTATTCGAGGCCGCTTTGGTGAGTTCTTAGGGTTTAGAGCTTTCTCTCAGGCTATGGAGGGTAAAGTTGAGGTAGAGTTTAAGGAAGACGGGAAGGTACGGTAAGCAGGGTTGCTAGGGGTATGGCCAGACTGGAACTTGAATTAGATTGAGTCGCGCTTGGTTTTACTGCCAAGCCGAAAATTTCCCGAAATCGACCGAAAAATTCCATCCTGACTTTTTCAACCCTTTTTTTTCAAAACTAGTGTCGTCGTAAAGAGAAACCAGGTTACGGTAATGTCGGTCTCGTGATGTTTTGTCGTGATTTGTCAGTCTCATTAACATTCAGAGAAGTCAGGTGGATTTTCCGAAGGCGCTAGTTTGAACGTCGTTCATAGTTCCGTCGAGTTGCTGTGGATTTCGCTGGCTTTACGGTATCACTCTCGGTTTCTGACTGCGCAAAGAGCGTGGATTCGTTTCACTTCGGAAGAGACTACTTTACATAACGCGACTGTCACTCCGGGACAGGATTATCCTGCTACCTGTAGCGGCGTGGCGTGTTCGACGGGTAGTGCTAGGCGCATTGAAAGGAGGAGCTGATCGGCCGCTGTGAGGGTTTTTTATGGGCTAGCGAAGGGCTTGAAAGTTCAATCAGCGAAGACGGCCGAGGCGGCGGCAGTGGCGAAGACGATGCACATTGTTCAGTCCGCGAAATGTTGGCGCGTCTTTCGTTTGAGCGCCGATCATTTCAGATCTTTGAATTTGAAAATTGCACTGTTCTGCACTTTCACCTCTGCACTATGTGGACGACTAGAGGGTGATGGGGTCAGAAGACGTCCATTGTGTCGTTGAAAGGCGCTTTGAGCGATAGGGTGCTCGAAATGTTCGTTCAAGCATCGAAAGAGGGAGCAAGTGTGCAACGGTCGTTCCTCTTGGGATGCGCCACACAAGCGTCTTCCTCGAAAACCTTCAGAACCATTTGATTGGGTATCCGACAATGCCATGGTTTCTCTGGCCTTCTGATCTAAACCAATGCGTTTAGTTCGAATCAGTGTTCTGGACGAATGGCTAGCCATTTAGGGCTAAACGGGAGCCCATACGATTACCGTGCTGGTATGGAGAGCACCTTCAGCCTTTGCTTTATCTCCATTTCCTCGGTGGAAGGAAGTTGCTGGAAATTTCCACGGCCTAATAGGAAAGGGTAACTGTTCGTACTAATGCTATTACCACATACACAAAAAGGCTGTAGAAAATAGAATTTTGAGGTGTGTTCAGGCTCATTGGAACTGTCCCTTCCCGTCGTCGTCAGCACCATCGACGAACGCCATCGTCATCATAGCATTATTGTAGCGCGCGCGGAGCCGGTTACGAATTAGGTCAATGCTCGCTTTGAGACGCTACCATCGGAGTTCCACTGCGCGAATCCGGTCCTTTTCAACGAGAAAGTACAAG